TGACTCCCCAATTTCTGTTTTTGGGGTCTGGGGGCTTTTTTGCCTTTTCCCTACTCTCCATAAAAACGGCTACTGTCACCATGTCTGGAATCCCCATTCAGAGAGAACCACCAGACAAGATGAACAACAGGTAGAGACAGTTGGAAAATTTGAGCCCCGATTTTTTCACTCAAACAAAACTTCTCAGAATATGTAAACAATGCCCTGCCCCTGTCGTCCCCTTTTCATCTTTACCTGGGTAGTACCAGAAGGAAAAGCCTTACAAAAACTAGATAGAGACCATGTTTTCTTTATTATTTGAGGACTTTTTCAATCAGCTAATATAAGATAAGCCACTGTGGGCACCCGAATAAATATTTGCTTTTGGTGTCATCACGCAAATAGTCCAGTCTTGAAAAGTGAATTTTCCACTCTGAAAGACATTTTCTAACACCACTTACACCACATCCAAATTCAGATATTTATATCTGGTTTCAGTTCACTGATCTAGTATTTTTTCTAATAACTTTTCCAAAATTTACCAGTTTCCCAATAACAGTTTTTAATTGAAAAAGAAATTTCCCCAATCTCCAGCTGCAGTATGATCATATAAATAATATTTAACTAAATTATACCCTGTGTGTATTTGACAAGCGTAAAAGAGTTTTGCCCATCAGACTGAAATGTTCCTCCAATTTTTTATGGCTTGCTGGTGAACATTTAACATTTCAAAATATATTAAAAAGGAAATTCTAAGAGCCTTAATTATATGATTAATTTGCCTGTATAGGAAATCATTTCCTTCTAAATATTGTGCTTCATTTGTTCCGATTTCTGAATTCATGGCAAAATTTCCAGCATTTGTTTTTTAATCTGACCCAGGCAATTAACCACAGTAGAGGAAAATAGCTTTAAGAACTTGACCGCATTGTGCAATGTTCTAATAAAACACAAGAGGGCAGGTTTTGCTTTACTGTAAGCCTAATTCCCCTCTGCTGTTAATAAGGATGATCATTGTGCTCATTACAAATTCAGAAACGCTCAATAACACACAAAGTGAATGAGTAATCAGAGTGTGTACTCTGGCAGGAAATCTCTGGTATTTTAATAAAGAATGACAAATTTAAGCCTTTCTACGAGCTGTTATTTACAACACAGAGAACAATTACATTTGGGAGACACTGACAATTTTAGCTTACATTTATAAACCACCAAAGGAGCAGACAATGGCCAGAAAAAGAGAGGACCAAGTTCAGTCATATTACATCCAAGAAGTCTGACTTGAGTCAACGTGGCAAATAACACAAGTGGGTTAACGATTTCTGCCAAATAGCTACAGTCTTGGTGAGAATAGAGAGAGCATACAGGCCTTGATGTACTTTGGGTTTTTGTTTGTTTTGTTTAGTTTTAGAAAACTTTTACCTTATCCTATTGCTCACAATTTTCTTGTGTGTTATTTTCAAGATTTCATTAAACTACCTTCCAAAGCATAATTAAATTAACAGGGGTTATTTTCAGCTTGAACTGCCGTTAAACATAAAGTGAAGTATCCTGTCATCTTTGGAGAGTTTCTGAAGAAACTCTTGGGTCCATCCATGTAAGAAAGGCACTGGTTCGCCTGGCTGAATAATTTGCCCATAACTCCTTCCACCGAAGCAAGGCCTTTAAGACATCAGATGGTGGAGGGCCCTACAATGATACTGTAAGGTCTTAACTTTCTATCCTTGTCCCTATAAATTGTAGAAGTAAGGCCTACCAACAGCGAGGAGAAGATACACCCAAGAAGAAAATGCGGCTGGGAAGTGTCCCCTTGTATTAGGTTGCGTGGAGTAAAATTCCACCTAGTACATGTACAACTCAGAATCTGAAAGATACGTTGTTGTTAATTTCATGGTTCAAGTTTTACTTTGAGATTAGTTTATTCATTCAAAAAATATTTATAGAGTACTCAGGATGAGCAGGGCACTGAAGAAACTGGAAGAGTTCAACCTTGGGTTTTGTCGTTGCAATGAGGAGAATAATTATCTCCCAGTGGGGGTGTACGGGTCGGGGTGTGTGTGTGTGTGTGAGAACTGGCTCTTTTATGTCCCTATATCAATTAACCATCAACAGTTTCTGAGTACTTAAAGTACTTTGAAAGGATGGCATTAGAGCTGTACAGAGAGATGTACAATCTGACCTCTTCAAGCTTCAAGAAGCTTCAAGTAGCTTCAAGTCTAGATGTGGACATGAACACAACATGACCACTACCTCATTGGCTCTGACTTCCTTCTTCTGGGGGTCTCCAACAAGCTGACTGACCTGGAAGGCTTTCCGGAGGATCAGCCAGTTAGCTGCTACAGGACCCCTCCTCCCTGGTCAGTGACTTGAAGTAGCCACCCTACCCCACTCCTACCCCAAGATCAGTCTTTAGACTGCGGGGACATCAAAACTCTTCACCTGAAAAAAGGCTAGTGTCTTGCTTTCCTACCTATATAACACAAAGTCAGGAAGTAGCAGTTGCTTAGAAACTCAAAAGAAAGTAGAAACATCAGTTTACTAAAGAACTTATTTTCAAAATGAAGTAATTATCTATTTTATATCTATACATATATTTCAATATAGGTATATTGAATGCCAAAAAGATGGGAATTGATGTTCACAAGTTAAAAAACAATAGCCCTCAACAGACAAACAATAATGTGCAAAACAAGGTTTATTTTTATTTTCTTCTTTAATAAGTTTTCTACTTCTTGCTAACGTGAGATTAAAATTATTCATTAGGATTATTATAATTAACAATGTTAAATCCTAAGCAAGACACAAATTAATGTCAAAGAATTTTAGAATTAGAATTTAATTCACAAAGGAAGGATGTTATTGCATTTCATTTCACTTCTGAATGTAAGCTTTGTAAAAGCATTTCTTTTGAAATCATAATTCATATACATACAATTTTTCTAATACTGCAGATAGAAGCATATAAAGTGATCTATTCATTTTCCTCAAGGTTGAATTTTTTTCTCCCTATCAAGAAGTATAGCCCTACAATGCTTGGTGATATTTTCTGAGTTTATTTGCATAATATTCAATGTAAGTAAATACCAGCTTTTAGTCTACCTTTAGATTTGTTAAAAGTTTTATTGATCATTGATTTATTGTAATGTTAGAAAATGTTAGAAAATTTTATTTCTCTTACATGAACTACAAAATTAGGAAAATATTTCTTTTAGGAAGACATTTTAAAACATAATATTTATAAAAAGTAGCATGTGCTCTATATAAAAATAGCTAAGTATAAATGATTACTCTTTTCTTCTACCTCAGATAGATCTTGCTTTAAACAAATCTTATGGGAATATGATGTATAAAAATTCTAATATACCTGAAAGATAAGCTAGAGGTGGTTATGTGCTTTATAGAATTATTCATAATAGTTCATCTATAAAAAGTAATTTCCCCTGATGCTTTTAACATATAATTGATTAATACATAACTTTTCAGGAACATATCTACCATGCACAATTACGTCTTCATTTTAATATATTTCTCTTTTGGCTTAAAAACAGGATGTAAAAATGTCTTCCTCAACAATCCTGAGTTCAGAGCATAAACCTTCCAGAGTGGAGCATGTTAATGAAACGCTGCTGAATTTTCCATGAACACTGTTAAAGGCAGAAGCTGAGATTTCTGTATGTGGTTGTGGCTAAAAAGGCCCAAGCAGGGCTTTACCCCATGAAGGACCCTAGGCTGTCTTGATTCTCATCTGCCGAGCCTACACGTAGAGACACTCATAGCTTTATGAGACTCACTCAGACTCAAATTCACATTGGGCTTTTTTTTTTTCATTTTCCTGGCTTTCACAGTCTTATTCCAGGAGATAACACTGTCTTGATGAATCTTGCACCTTCTAGGCCCCCCATATGTAGAAGGCAGCTCCATAATCCTATCAACACTCATTCATTCCAGTAGAGAGGGGCTGAAACGAACAAACAGATGGGCCATCTTCTAGAACTTTGGCCTCACTCCTGGTGCACAGGTACCACATATGAGCAGATGAAATTTGCCTTGAGGCGCCGGCCCCGTGGCGTAGTGGTTAAGTGCGTGCGCTCCGCTACGGGCGGCCCGGGTTTGGATCCCGGGCGCGCACCGACACACCGCTTATCCAGCCATGCTGAGGCAGCATCCCACATATAGCAACTAGAAGGATGTGCAACTATGACATACAACTATCTACTGGGACTTTGGGGAGAAAAAGGAAAAAAAAAAAAGGAGGAGGATTGGCAGTAGATGTTAGCTCAGGGCTGGTCTTCCTCAGCAAAAAGAGGAGGACTGGCATGGATGTTAGCTCAGGGCTGATCTTCCTCACACACACAAAAAAAAAACAGATTAAAAAATTAAAAATTAAAAAAAAATTTGCCTTGAAGTCTCAATAACTGTTAAGTTCTCAGTAGGGGTCATCTTAATAAGTCTAAACATCTTAGTAAAGACTGCCTCATTCTTCTCTCTCTTGATCGGACGATTGCTTAGCAGAACATAAGCATTTAATTCTGTATTGTTATATTTTGTATGGATGGTTTGCTTTTAAATGATAACAATTGATTAGGATTCATATGTAACCGTCAGTACAGTGCAGCATTAATGAATCTAAAGTCAACTCTTAAAAATAAGGCAAATGCATTATACGTGAATAATTTTTCATCTGAGGCTACCTAGTAAAGGAGTTGGTTCAGAATCAGCCAAAGGTGACTTCAAAGCAATGGAACACTAATCAAATTGTCTCATATTCACGATTATAGCCTCACCAGCCTTCTCCAGTCAGCCTTTCCTGGAAAGAGTGATTCTATACTTGTTAATAGGTTTAAAACAGTATATTAATCAACTAGAAAGCTCTATAATGTAATCCCTCATCTATTTCTTTAACACTATAGGATCAATGTTTATCTAGCTATTGAATCTTGTCATATGTCTACTGCCAAGAACTGCAGACCTTTGATATATTCTGTAAAGTCTAGTTTACAAAAAAGAACTGAATTGATCATTCATTCATTCATTCATTTATTCTCCGTCCTATTTGGAAAATAAGGCCTGTTTTCATCTTCAAGGCCATTTTAAAGGCTGGAGAAGAAAAGACAGAGCAAAGAAGAAAAATAAGCCTCAGGAAAATTATCAAGAAGGCATCTAAAAGCATAGATGTTTATAGTTTAAAGGGATCTTGGAGACTCATGTAGCACCTGCTATCCCCTACCCCCACAGCATTACAAATGAAGACACTGGGGTTAAGGAAGATTGAACCATGATCTTGTCCAGGTCTCAAATTACACTAACCTGCAAATTAAAATGAATCCACTCTATTGATTTTTTTTTTTTTTTGATGATCTCAGAACACGAAGAAGCTAAATCAACGTGGGCACTTATGAGATACCACAAATCGTCAGCTCTGCCTTTGTTTGATGGTAGAGATAGCCTCGAGCACTTTAGCTTGAGTTTGTTAAACAAGCAAACCAGACTACAGCTAAGCATCTTCTGTGTTTGGGGTCATCACCACAATAGGAGGAGCTATGCCAAAGGTCTTCAACTAAAGGAAGAAAGTGGGGATTAGTTTGTTCATTGTCAGGGTCAGAACTACAACTTGGCCAGCCTCTCCTCTAGGGTAAGGCATGAGCATCCTAGGCTTCTTCTGTGTATCTCTTGCTTAAATGTGTCTCCATTAGGGGTGTATATCCTCTTCGAAGTCTTCTATACTGAAGGAAAACCAGCAGCGCAAAAAGACCAACCAAAGCCACCAGCATTCCCATAACCACTGAGAGGGCTGTGGTCCAACCTGGAGTTTCTTCAACTGAAATTAAAGCAGAAGAGAAGAGTCTACAATCGGGATTTTCATCAGCTGAATACTGTTAGAAAAGGAAAGAATAAACCCATTTGCCTTTCACATGTATTTTCGTTGATAAAGCAAAACTACACTGGCTAGAATAAAATTTTTCTTCTCCTTCCTCACCAACTATTTATCATATCCACAATTGTTTTCCTTGAAGAAGTGGGAAATGGCATTCCATTATTTAAATACAGCTTATTGCTTTTTAAAAATTTCTTACAATAAATACTTATACAGAATAAACCCTCCAAGGAAGTATATAACTACTTTTGGGAGGTAGAAACTCACTTGTAAAAGTGCATGCTAAAATGGTGTCTGGGGAACTGCAAAATATACAACCCTCAAGTAGAGCAATGCTGCTATTGTCTCTACCTTTTGATAGGGTGGTAAATGTGTAAGACAGATCAGATTGGCTATTACAACAGGAGACATTCAATAACAGGAGCAGATGAAATTTGTACCCATTGAAACAGTTGTGAATAAAATCTGAATCATCCCTATGATAAATCCAATCCTCTACTCAACTATATTTTATAAGCACTCTTCCACAAAATTAATGGATTTCATTTTTAGTATATTTATGCCTATTTGTCATTTCTTTCAAAATTCTCACGGCCAGCTGTTATTAAATTCAGTTTCTCTGACTCAGTTTCTCTTATTCTATACCTTACACTTATCTAAATGTAAAATTCTACCTCTAGTTCTTTTCCTCCAGTCCAACAGAAGGCTCTGACCCATCCTAAAGAGATTCCTCCAAGAGGAATTATTGGCCTCCAAGGCTTATTTCACCTGGCATAATGTCTTCAAGGTTCATCTGTGTCGTAGCATGTGACAGGTTTCCTCCCTTTTCTAGGCTGAATTATGTTCCATAGTAAGGACACAGCACATTTTTTTTATCCGTTCATCCATCGATGGACAATTGGGTTGCTTCTACCTTTTGTCTATTGTGAGTAATGCTGCTATGAAAAGGGTACAAATATTTGAGTACTTATTTTCAAGTCTTTGGGGTATATACCCAGAAGCAAAATTGCTGGATCATATGGTAATTCTATCTTTAATGTTTTGAGGAACTGCCATACTGTTTCCGACAGCAGTTACCCCATTTTACATTCCCACTAGCAGTGCACAAGGATTCCAAATTCTCTGCATCCTCATCAACACTTGTTGCTTTCTTGGTAGTACTCATCCTAATGGAGTAAAGTGGTATCTCATTGTGGTTTCTGCCTAACTTTTAAAGCCCTGAATAATCAGGCCCTTCTCACAGATCCAACTTTAATTCATGGTAATCTTCTACCCAAGCCACAACCAGGCTTTCTTCTCACAGTCCTCTATGTAGATTACATGTGCCTTTCAGAGTTATGTTCTCTGCCCTTTTTCAGTCTAAAAGGCTCCCTTCTTTCCTCACCTACCTAAGATCTATCAATCTCTTTGAATATAGTTCAAGACTCACCTCCTTTCCCCAATCCCTCACTCCCTTCTCCAGCCTGCGGTTACAGTTATGTCTCCCCAGACAGGATTGTAAATTTCTTTGTCAAACCAATAAATGAACGTGAATTTGTATCTTCTAATGAATTAACACATTCTGGGCATATTTAGGCTCTTCATGTATACCTGTTAATTGACTGATGTCAGAGGAGACGGAAGCATGTCAAAATGCACATGCCAAACTTTTTGATTATTATTATGTTCAATCCCAGAGAAAAAAGAAAGAAGTTTCAAAGAGATATCCTCAGCTGCCGAAAGAAAGGAAACTTCAAATCAGTAAGGAGGACAAGCAGTAGTTGATGCAGAACTAGAAGAAAAAGCAGAGAGGTTCCAGGGCCTGCAAGACTGAAGTCAGAGAGAGAGAGAGAGAGATGTGAGCTCAGAAACTGTTGTGATTACTTTGTCAGCTAAGATGTAGGGAAGATGAAATAGATACAAATGAGGAAACGCCACCAGCAGATAGGCTGTGTGTTTTTCAGCTTCTTGACAAATAAGGTATTTTTTACTGTTTTTCCTTTTCTTTTTCAACCTGTCCCAAGACTCCCTAGATGGCACGTGGAGCTACACTGGGGCCTGGGCAAAGAGAAAACTGTGTGTCCCCATATACGCTTATCGAAATATCCTCCCATATTTTGAACCAAGAGGGAAAAGCTAATGAAAAATCTACAATTTAAAAACATGATTTAAAAAACTTTAATTAAAGAACACACACACGAAGCCCCGTGCAGCCCCCAGCAGGGGCAGTGTGGGCTAATCGGAAATAATTGGTCTTGTTACGAAATAACGCAGGGATATAAGACAAACAGCAGCAGCCTGTCTTTATCTAAAAATTTAATAGTGTATTTATCATGGATTTTTTGCATTAATTTTTATTTTTTTAAATATTGCATTGCATTTTTACTTATCTGGATTACTGAATTTTTTGGCCTCCCCTTGACCTTTGTGCTGGAGGCAAATGTTGCACTTGCCCCACCCTAAACCCAGCCCTGCCGTCAAGTGATGATCTCAAAGTCCTGCTGATCCCTGCCCACACGTGGCTAGTGCATTTTGATTTTATCAGTTAGACATTCCAAACTGTGGCCAGTTTTCGATTCATTCAGATAGAATTGTCAAATCAGGTGCAGAAGTAGATACTTCCTCGTGGAATAAGGTGTCTTAACAACTTTCCATTTTCTAAAACAACAGTCATCTAACAAGTCCCTTTTCTGATGTTTCATTGGTAGTTTAAAGACTCATTTAGCTAAATGTATATATATTCCAGAAAATTTCCAGTAAACTTAACTAGACCTGAGTACTTCAGTTTAAGGTCTTGGTTCGCATTAAAAAAAGAAAGAAGGAAAGCTTCTTTAGAAGGTGAATGAATCACCCATTTAGAAGTTGTACTAGTTACCTGGCAGATCAATGGCGTAGCTGTAGCCAAGTTGGTCTGCAGTTAAAAAGAGCTCCTCATTGGTCACCGGAGGGAAGAAAGGAACCATGTTATACATCCGATTGTGACCAATGGGCGCCAGCTCCTGAGGCCAGGCATCTGCGGGAGGATTGAATCTTTTCATCCACTCATCAAAAATGGCATCGGTAAAGGAATGAAGGACCTGAAAGAGAGTTGAACCGGGCATTTAACATTGATCGGTCTGTTCAATCAGATGAATCTGATTGAAGCTTTCTCTAAAATGGAACGAGGTTCTTCTTGAAGGAGGAGCTTCCGTGTACCCAATCTAATCTTAGTGACACAGCCACTCGCATTTTTAGTTAAGTTTTCAAGGATGATGGCCTATCTCTCCAAATAGGACTATAAAACCCTTTGTTAAATGAATAAATGAAATTTCATGTTGCAGACTTAACATTGGTTTGGGGACATTTGAGACCCTCAACAAGTGCGTGTCAATTATTAAAGTTCAGAAAAAAGGCAAGGATGATGAGATACATATTCTAGTCAATATTCAGATGCTTTGGTTTTAACAGAAGAGAAAGAAGAGGATGTATTTACCAGTGTTGTCATACAAATAGACAGTAAAAAAAAAAAAAAGAGAAAATCTCAAATTGGAAATTTTCCTCACCAGGAACACCCTTCTATGTACTCATTTTGTAGCCCTCTCATTTGAATTCTCAGTGTTACACCAGCAAAAGAAATTCTAAAAATGTTGTAATGTGCATAGTGCTCATTTTTATTTTCTTAAGAAAGCTGTTGAAGGCCTTTTCAAATACAGCAATTTTTACGTTTTAAAATATTAACAGCAAAATTTCCACATGTATAGCCCCGATTTCACAAGAAGATGTAAATTTGAGAGTTCAGCCCAGGCTCTATGTCTCGTTCATTCCTAGACTGCAAGTTCATGGAACTCAGGGACAGTGTCTGCTTTTCTTCCCCTCTGTGTCCCCAGTGCCTGTCACCCCAGGGCCTGGAACGTGGAGGCAGGAGGGTACTTATTTCGATAAATACTTGTTAAATGAATTTATTCATCCATTTACCATTGTACCCCAGCGACAGCATTGGTCAAATTATGCTGTAACTTGTTATCTCCTTATTTATCCATTCCCCCTACGAAGACCCCTAACTCCTAAAGGTCAGAGATAAGGTCTTTTCATCTCTGAAGCCTCAGGCTTAGCAGGCAACCTGGACAGAGTAGATGCTTAATAAGAATTTGTTGGCTGATGACCGTGCTGCACAAAGTAGTTTTATTTTTCCCACAATTGAACCATACAGGCCCCTTTCTAGCTGGAGCTGTGTCCTCAGTCTGCAATGCTGTTCCTTCTGTCTTCTGGCATCAGTCTTTCAAGGACCAACTCAATGGTCCCTGTCTTTAATCATACATCTTCCCTGATTGCCCCCAGTCTGGATCCTTCACTCTTTTACACTTCTTAATTCCTTTAATTGTGTTGCCCTTCTGGCTTGTATTACTCTTGTTTATTTAGTAGATAATGTCTTCAAATCACACCCATGGTTCCTCCCCCACCCCTTTACTTGTGCTTAGTTGCCCTTATTCAGGCAACAATGGAGAGCTTTCTACCTGTATTGTCTCACGAGGATATATTCGGGATAGTAAAAGGAATCAAGTGATTTACTAAAGGGATTTTTTTTATGAATAGATTTTTAAAGTTCATGGCAGAGATAATGATCTTATAAACCAAAACATCAAATTATAAGACCTGGGCTTTTAGAGAGAGAAAAGATTTTTTGAATTCTAAAGTCTTTGAGTAACAAAGGAATAAAGGCATAGAGTTTATTGCATCAGCAACAACTTTGGAGGAGACATGATAACGCAACTGATCAATGTTTCCCACAAGTAGGGTTCAGAAAAAGGCATCTTTGAGAAGAGGCATCAGCCCTAGAAAAGGAGCTAAGCGTTAGCTGTTGGTGTAGGTCTCCGGAAAAGGTATCCCATGCCCTAAATCCCGGGAACTCCAGATAAAGTTAGAAGGTTCCCAGAGAGGGAAGTTGTGCTTCATCCTCCAGGTGTGGCCTGGAGAATCTGCCAGCCTCAAATAGAAGTTTCGCCTCAAGCATGGACCCCAAGCAACAGAGGTGGAATGTCTAAGGGTGGCAAACACTGTTGGGTGCTTACCCAATATCCATTCTTCTCTTCTTCCTCAGTAACTTCCTTTGTATTTGGGGTGAAGCAATGTGCCAAACTATCCACGAGATTTAACTGGAGTCATTGGATGGAACTTCTAGGGAAGCTCTTTAAAAGTGATTGTTTCAGCTTAAAAGTCTTCCTTTTTCCCTTTCCATTTCTCCTTGCTACTTCTTGTAACATGGATGTGATGGCTGGAGCTACAGCAGCCATCTTAACAGCCAACAAGCAAAATTAAGAAAAGAAGCCAAGGATGGTAAAGCAAAAAGACAGAAAGTGTCCATTATGACTATGGAGATACTATACCAGCCCCAGACTGCCTGCCACTGGAGCCTTTTACATAAAGAGAAAAATAAACCTCTTTTTTATTTAGGCTTCTGTAGTTTGGGTTTTCTGTTCTAAGCAGCTGAACCAAATCCTAAGTGATACAAGGAAAAAGTATATAAGGGTGTACCAGAATGCATTTTCCAAAAAACACCACACAATATTTTTTGAACTTTTAGATACTGTCTGAGTTCAAGTCAGAGATCAAGTTGTGATTAGAATAAGAGATGAGACTCTCAGGACATGGAAAGATCCAGAGTCAGTGCTGCAAGAGGCAAATAGCTTTTGGAAAGCACCATATTCACCTGGCGCAAAGTGTAAATAATTAAGAAGGAGACAACACTCTAAAGCAATTCATAATTTGGAGAGATAAAAGAACAGGGAAAAATAATAAGGAGAGATTATAGGTCTCAGAAGAGCTATAAAACATTACACAATGAATGGTCTAGTAGGAACTCTTTCCAGAGCACCCAATTAACAGACCGTAGTAAAAAAGGCTAGTGTGCGCCAAGAAGATGCAAAGAATGCAATAAACAAAATGCTACGACCAATAACATATCCACAGGCTAGAAAGAGAAGTGATGCAACGCGTAGAAAGGGCATCTTTGTTAAAGCTGTGGACACTGTTCCTAAGCGAGATACCTTGAATAGCTCTTGAGAAATTAATGGTAGCTTTGTTGGAAACAATTTGAAAATGAGCTCAGTTAATATCTCTGTAAAGAAAGAAAAAATCTCTGTAAAGGCCAAATATAATTTGAGGGTAATAAATAAAAGTAAAAGTGTACTCTAGTGCCTTATATCTGCTGTAGAGATACATAGCTATACTTCAGTATTAAAAATTGAGGGCTTCAGAAATGAGATTACGAATGTTGGTATACAAACCTAGTCTATATTGTTCCAACAAAATAAAGATAGGTACAGGAAGGAAAAAAAACACTAAATTTCAACTTGGAGGCAGTATTGAAGAAACTGCGATGACGTGGGCTTTCAAGGTAAAAGTTTTTAAATGTAACCCTGGCAGAAGAAAGCAAATAAGCAACAAATATTGTGCTTACGGGCATAAAGAAACTTAATAAAATATGGGGAAAGCGTGCATATCTGTCTCAAGATCATTGGAGGATAAAGTTACTATCAAACTTAACCTTAACTTAAATGGCTGCAAATTCAGATTCCTGCCACACTGGTGACATGAGAAGCGCGTTTGCGCCTGGAGGAGGAGCGCCATGGAAACCCGAGGCTGGCTGCAAAGACGCTTGTATGTTACCAAAGACCAGCACACTGTGGTTTCACCACTTGAGTTCATGTGTTACCATCCAGGAGACGTCATTCATAATCAGAGTGGATCTTATTGTGGTAACGTGATAATGCTCTGGTCCTCTGAGACTTTGTACATGATCGCCTAAAAGTCACACAATAGACACACGGTTCCATATGGGAAGTTCCAATTTAAAACTTAAGGTAGAAGGCATAAATAAAAAGTTGGGTCAGAATTTCTAAATGAGAGAATTCCTAAAAAACATATTTAGTCATGCTTGTTATTTTATGGTAATATTTATTTATTCTTGCCTTGTTCTACTAAGGATTTGAAGCAATGTGTAATCAAGATGTTGGTTTTACATTTCCCTAAATAAGCCAGATGTAATAGGCATGAAAGAGTTAAACAACACCCAAGCTTTTACTTAGCTGACTAAGCTCTGCCACAGGGAGGTGGTTACTCCATGCACGGCACATTTAGTGAGAGACAAGAAACAATCATAAAAATGGGACATTTGAGCAATAATAGAGTCTTCTAGGCAGTGCTCAGCCAGGATGGTGTGTGTTTCTTATTTTGCTATAATTTTCTCTCCCTGTTCTTCCCTATCTACCCTCTCATTGCATCCTGAGCAGACAGAATAAAAGATATTTTTCAGGCATTTTGGAGGAGTGACATAGGGAAAGCACCCTTTCTGTGTAGATTTGTATAACAGCATTATTATTATTAAAATATACATATATACATAGAACGTATACAATATACACTGTATACAAGATACAACAGCATGTATACAGAAGGAAATATCAAGAGCATTAGAAATTCAGTTGCTAAATCCTTGAGGAAGAAAGCTTGCAGTTTCAGGATTAAACTTTGAATAGATGCAAACAGGTTCTGCTATTATTATGTCAGCTCTAAAAGAAGTGACCAATTCAGCATACGTCATAGGCAGACAATAATAGGTTGAAGAGAGAGAACCAGGGACATGTTAGAAGAGATTCTAGATAAGAACTGAGATACTCTCAAGCCATTCGTGGCTAAGGAATCACCAAAGCTCTAGGAGAGAGTAACACAAATCAATGCCAGAACCATCTTAGATTCGTATATAAATTGTAGTTTACCATTAGACTACTTAATTTCATCGATAATGAAGCGTAGATAGTTCATCTCTTGGTATAGATTTAGTTCTCAGTAGAGCATGCATTTATCCTTATAAAGTCTAGACTTGAAAAGAACTCCTTCAGGTGCCATTCAGCACCTGCCAAGTTGAAAAACCAAACCATCTCCCAGACTGAGCCTACAGAAATCCTGCCATCCTGGGAGACCCTGTCCAAGCAGGTGGCCAGCACCCTCTCTGACACCTCAGCTCTTAGAAAACTCACCAAGATTTGTGCTACTTAGGAGTTAGTGACTATATATCTCAGTTACTTAAAAATACATATGT